GGTTGAACACTTTAAAAGGGGGGTTAGGGGGATTCTAAGGGGGGGGGGGGGTTAACCCCCCCCCAGTAAATCCGCACATGGTTTAATCCAAAAATTGTGGAGACTCAAGTGGTAGGAAAAAGCATGAGTGTATGTTGACAGATGTTTTTTTTATATAATAAATAGCAACTAGGTATGTTCAGCAAGTTATTAGTGCATTTATTTCAATTGGCTAACTTTTTTGGGGTTTTTCCAGCATTTTTAAACAAACCAGAAGTTATAAATGATAACTGGGTATATCTAATTAAACCAATCTGTCATGCACACTCATGAAAATAAGACTAAGTACACAGGGTTCGTACACCTTCTTCCATTTAAAATTCCATGACCTGGAAGTCTGGCATTTCTGAAATTCATTAATATTTTAACGATAACAGATATAATAAAAGACAAAATTCACTTCGCTTTTGCAAAAATCCGTTATATAACAGCAATTCATATTACTTGTAAATTGAAATAAGTAAAATACTTTGTTAATGTTATGGAAAATTTCAATTTTCCATGACTTTCCATGACCAAAATTGATTTTCCAGGATTTCCAGGCCTGGAGATTGGTGTATTGCAATTCCATGGGAGAGGGGGGGGGGGGGAAACAAAGTTTTACCCTTATAAATAGGGGAGTCAAAAAAGTTTTGAAAAAATATAAAAAAAATATAAATATTTTGTGGAAAATTTGGTGAAAACATTTTACGCCAAAACAAAGTTAAAGCGTAGTCGTGAACACTACCAATACTAAACTTCCGCATTTTTAATTAATTACATTGTAATAGTTACAAAAAAAGGTAAGCAGAGAAACTACTCAATCGATCAATCAAAATATTCAGGATACCTTAAATTAATAAATACAGTAGTTTGAGGATCTATAGAGGAGGATCTAGAGGTTAGCCCTACTATTGATCCTCCCGTTTTTTAAATAGGTTTAAACTTTAAGAAGGCATATATACCATCCACTTATTGAAGTTTCATCTGAACATACGAAATTGTCCAAGAGATATTGACCCTCCCCCCAGTCCCAGAAAACAAAAAGCCCAGTTTAATTAGATTTTATAAGGTAATTCCGCAGTTTTGCATTGCGTACTTTTACTGCCCACATCTTATAACTTATAATTTCATCCATTATACGGACCGTTTAAAAAATATTATTTTATAACTTGAATTTTATGTTACTTCAAAACATCTTTGGTTACGTTCGTGCAAAGAATTACGTTAAAATCAATGTTTTCAAAAAATTCTCATTTCGGGAACCATTACTGCGGAATTACCTTAAGTTGCAGGGCATAAACTTTGTCGAGGTGCATGCATGCATGCTCCTCCGCGAAAATTTGAAACTTTGTGGTTCGGAAATCCCATTTTCTTCAAATTGAATATCTTTTGTTTTATTCTCGGTTTTTGTCAGTTGGAATGACTTCTTGAGGGGCTCAGCGAGATGTCAGATAGAACTACACATAATTGAACTCAAGAGTTGAACTACCTGTAGGTAGAAAAGTGTTCGCAGTGTTGAAAAGTGAGTGCATTAACATCAGCATACTGGGGAAGGAATGAAAATGATGAGGGAATATTCAGAGATTGGCAACAAAAATAAACGAATTAATCAGATGAATGAAGCTATATAACCTGTGAGATGTAGAAATGTCAATATCTGCTATTGTCAAACATTAATCCCTTGTTTCCAAATGAGATGTATTTAACTCACTGTCTTTTGCGGCTATCGCTATATGCTATACCGGAAATGAGACAAAGCTAAAAGCTTGAATATTCATACCCGAATCATTATAATTCAATGCATGGCAACACAGAGGAGTAGTCACGCGGGGGAAATGGGGAGGTCGGACCCCACACTTTCTTCAGGACCAAATTTGTACTTCTTTAAAACCGAGGAGAAACTGGGGGCGTAACCTCTTAAGTTTAACGTTTTCATCATTGACAAACAATAAGCCAAATTCACCCGCACGTTAGAACGCCCCCCCCCCCCCCCCCGAAGACACGCCGGGCGCGATTCGACAACGCGGCGCGATCTTTTAGTCTTTGAAAGTTAATAAAACATCTAATGAAGGGAAATTTAAAAAAAATGTATAGGCCAGATAACTCAAAATGTTATATAGCGCGCTTCTAAAGTGAAAAACTTAAAACCAGTATCAAAGTTATCGGTCAGTAAAAATCGAAAAATCGCGCCGTGTTGTTGAGTCGCGTCCGGTGTGTCTCGGCCTTAAGGTTTCGCGGAAATTTTTCTGCCTGAAAAAAGTTGGGGATAAAATCTACGGGGATAAAATCTACTTTAACTAAAAGTTCTTGCATGTGTACAGTTAATTCTCTAAAATTGAAAGGGAAACTAAAATGTGAACAATAGGTTCATGGCAGTATGCTGTACGGGTCACATTGATTTTTATCAAACCTTTTAGGGTCGCGATCATTAGATCACATCAGACTATGCATATTGAATGCATCTACAGCATATGTGATACACCGTTCATATTTCTCACCACTGATGGTTACAAATGGACGATTTTTGGTATAAAACGCGTAACTGGACAGGTAATGGTGTACGACATTACGCAGCCTATATAGAATGAAGGATCAATTATATTCCTCAACAATGCATGGCCATGCTCACCAACTGATATACTGCACAGTGTTAATTTTGATACTAGGTTATTTTGAGCACTATACTATATTTTCGCAGTGCAGTATTATTTTATAATAATTTAGCAAATAGCGTAGCATATATAATGAATGAAAACTTATATGGATGTGCGACAGATAATTGCCATGGGCTCAACTGAATTTAAAATAAGCTGAAGTTTATGCACAAACATTTATTGAATATATCTACACTCCTGCAGACAATTGCAATATGCAAAAGTTAAAACAAAAGTATAAAACAACATCTTGCAAAGGTAGTAACAAAAAGTAAGCTACAAATGTTAAAGTCACGAAATCTATAAAACTATAACAAAGTTTCAAATCTCAATAGTCCTAAATACGGTCCTTTATCGACAAGTCCAGTCCATGCAGTTGATATGCATATGCAACTGAGAATATGCTTCTTAACGAATTCCGGCGCTGATGAGGCGATTAGGCTTTGGTCTATGACCATTCTCATTAAAAGCAACACCATTATAGGATTTCTTGTTACAGCAGCTGTACGAAAGTATGGAGACGATGAGTCACTACACCAGTTATTACACCGCTTGTAGCAACTGCCAGTATAACCAGAGAAATGGAGGCCTTTATAAAACGACGTGTCGCATATCAACATTTGATATTTGTATTTTGTTGAAGGAACACCCCGAGCTGTCCACAAGCCGTATGCGTCTGCCTTTTTATCATAGTTGTCAGCGAATTTGACTGCTGACCCAGTCTTGGTAAAAGCCGCTTTTTCTTTGGATTTTTCGTCAACAAACATCACCTCAGTAAACTAAAATTCAAGATGGTACAGACCTTAAACTTTTTTCGAGTTGTCATAATGAGATGTTGATATGTCATAATGAGATGTTGAGATGTCAGTGTGCGTGGTTTTAACTCATTACAAGAAATTTGCGACAAAATGGCCACAGTTTGTATGCTAATTTGCACATGAACCATGCATAATGGTCTGCAATTTTTAACAGAGAATATATATAGGGTAAAAATATTTATGCAAATATATCTGTAGATTATGGCAACCCAAGGTCTCGGCAATTGTTTACCGACCTCGTCAACAACAACAAAGCACCATTTTCTAAAATTTTGCCGTGGCACTTTATTCAAGTTGGATGTTTCTCCGAGCGGCCAATTTGTGTTCAAGATAAGGAACTTATCGACTTTGTTTCGTTAAACTGCCGTACGGTAAATGAAACAATCAAGAGCCTAAAGAGAAATCTATCTAGTCACGAATGTGAAAGACTATATACATCATGTTGAAAACGATCGAAATCGACTGTTTAAAGTAACTTTTAAGTTGTATTTTAATCACAAGTTTCACAGAAATACAGATATATAAATCACAACGATCACAAGCTTTTTCTCTCTACATGTCACGCCATGTGTAGTCACGTCATATCACGTGATTTCCAGTTACCTTATATGAATGTAAAATGAAGTCTCCGACACTCTCCCCTCATAAATTGTGAAATAGTTTATGTCCCATTGAGGAGACTTCCCCTATTAGAAGTTATTAGCTAAACAACAACAGTTATATTATATGAGTCAATGCTTGATATGAACGTTTTCATTGTATCTAAAGTTCGAGCTTAAAGTTCATCATCTTCTTCATTTTGCATAGTCTGCCTTACTCTCTCTCGAGCCGTGATTGCCTCTCGTCTCTTCGGTCTGAATTCTCTCGCGCCCGCGTTCAAGTCACTGAGTGGGTGCATCTTCGGTATGTCAACGGACAATTCGAGTGGATATAGATGTTGGGTTGACCTCTCGAGAAAACTTTTGCCTGCACCCAGCTTAACAGCCCTCAGATAGATAGATAGATAGATAGATAGATGGTTTATTTGCAAAGCATTGCAGCCAAAAGCTGAATTACGCTAAGAATTACATATAGTTTAAAATTAGAATAACTATTAAAAATTTTAAAAGTTTGGAGCCAAATGGCAATATGCGTATAAGTTGACTATAATTGTCTACTACTATAACTAGGTGCGCATTTTAGTGCATTGTGAGTTATGAAACTATTCCTAAATCGGTCTGTTTTAAAAAGCTGATTTTTAAAAAGTCGTTTCTTCCTAAGCTTAATTTGGCATTCGTTTACAGGTGGTAAAAGTTTGTTCAATTTGTGACTTGGGTCGCTAATAATTTGCTGGAATAGTTTGTCTGTTAGTTGCTGTCTTCGTGCTTCTAGAGGGACCAACTCAGCAACGAAGAGAGATTCGTCATATGATAAGGCTGGAAATTCTTTCGATGTCTTTAACAAGGTAATTTGGCAGGCTATCGTGAAATACTGGGCAGCCATACTCTGTAACAGGTCTTATACAAGTACAGTAAAAGGTAATAAGTTCCTTACTGCCCACGTTCGAACGTTTTAGTTGGCTCAGAAAACCCAA